TCGCTTAGTTTCTACGCAAGACATATAGGTAAGTCCCTTGGTCACAAATTTCATTTTACGCAATTATTATTGCTCGCTTTTTTTTTTTTTTTTTGGTAATTTCATTTTACCGGGACTGCTTTTATTGTTGTTTCTACTAATGATATTTGACGCAGGTGAAAGTTTTATCCCTTTATGTTTTTTTTGCTTGGATTGTATGATAGATAGATCTAATCTTGATAATTAATTGGTGCTATAGGCTAATTAAAACCCAATGCAAGATTGAATCTTTGAGTTTTGATTTTATTGTTTGTTTGAAGATTTAGGAAGCTGGGAATTGGTTGATCTGATTTTTTTGGAGATCTATTACTCGGTTTTTTTATTCTTCTAGAACTTTGCATGTTTATCAATTTTAATAAAGATTCGATTTTTATTGTTTTTTGAGGTGTTCTTGAATCTGGGCATCTGTTATTTTTTGATTAATTTTAGTTTGGTGTGGTTTGTTCTTAGAAAGATCAGTTTTTTTTTTTTTCATATGGGTTAACCCTGACCCGGATTGGGATTGCTGGTCAAATAACGGTTACTGATGTAAAGCTTTAATCTTTCATTTTTTAACCCTTCCTTTACTCCTGGGAATTCAATTTGATAACTTGGTAGTGATGAATGGCACATGAATCTTGCTAATCTCTGTTTTTCTGGGTAGTTTTTTTTTTTTTTTTTGTTTGTTTTTGTTTTTCTCTATTCAAAAATGAATTTCTTGAATTACAGAGGACCAGAGGAAAGCAAAAACGATATCGATTAATTCAACCATTGGGGTTTAAATCCCAAAAAGACATGTTGGAAGACCGATCTTGTCTAGTTTCGAGGGAATATCCAATGACCTATGAGCAACAAGGCAATTGGGCCCGCATGAATTACCGAGCGGACGAATCCAACGGTGGAGATGAAATCACTGTCAGGAAGATTCCCAAAAGATCCATTGAACAAATCGACACAGTCCTATCAATTGGCGGTATCCTAATGTCACTCTCGAACCAATCCGAAAATCAAGAATCTTCCGATTCGAGCTCATTAATCGTTCCCATTGGCCGCGACAATTCCATTAGCTGCCTTATTAAATGCTCGAGAGCTGATTACGGTTCACTCGCCTCATTAAACAGTAGCTTCCGCTCACTAATTCGAAGCGGTGAGTTATATAAACTTAGGAGGCAAAACGGTGTCGTTGAGCATTGGGTGTATTTCTCGTGCCAGCTGCTCGAATGGGAAGCGTTCGACCCAATCCGTCGCCATTGGATGCACTTGCCAAGAATGAACCCTAACGAATGCTTCCCATTCGCGGATAAGGAATCTTTAGCTGTCGGGACCGAGCTTCTCGTTTTCGGCAGAGATCTCATGGCCTACGTGATTTACCGTTATAGCATTTTAACCAACACGTGGACAACGGGCACAAGCATGAACTCTCCAAGATGCCTTTTCGGATCCGCTAGCCTCGGCAAAATCGCGATTCTTGCGGGGGGTTGCGACCCCAACGGCGAGGTTCTTGATTCGGCGGAGATTTACGATTCCGAGGAGGGTTCTTGGCGGACCCTACCGAATATGAACAAGGCAAGAAAAATGTGTTCGGGGTTTTTCATGGACGGGAAGTTTTACGTGATTGGTGGGATTGCTAGAGGGAGCGGCGCTCCTGTGCTTCTCACATGCGGTGAAGAGTACGATCTCGAGACGGGGGTTTGGACGGAGATTCCGAACATGTCGCCGGTGAGATCCGGGGCCGGCGATGCTCCGGCGACTTCAGAGGCACCGCCGCTCATTGCGGTGGTGGATAACCAACTGTACGCGGCGGACCATGCTGACATGGAGGTGAGGAGGTACGATAAGGAGAGTAGAGTTTGGGTTACTGTTGGGCGGCTGCCGGAGCGGGCGGACTCTACTTACGGGTGGGGTTTGGCGTTTAGGGCGTGCGGCGATCGGCTTATTGTGATCGGTGGGCCCCGCAATTCCGGTGAAGGGTTTATTGAGGTGAACTCGTGGGTCCCACATGAGGGTCCGCCTCAGTGGGATTTGCTTGGTAGGAAGAGGTCAGGCAGTTTTGTGTATAATTGTGCTGTGATGGGATGCTGAATATTTGATGATCTTTGGCTAATGGGATAATTTTACTCAAGAACTTTTTTTTCGTTTTTTTTTTCGGTTTTGGGGATGGGAGTATAGGAAGGAAGGATTATCAGATTTTACTCAAGATTCGATATTGGATGTTTTTCGTTGATGTAGTCTTGGCTCTTGAGTAATTCTTTTTTTAATTTACTTGATATTTCTTTACTTTGAATTCTCCCCGTCGAAAAGGAAACAAGCCAAATATAGAAGGGAGAAAATAAAGTCTAAACATGTTTACTGTGTCGACATTGCTTTGTAATGATCTGATTGTTGTTGGAATCCGTGGTGCCGGGCTATAAAAATCGATCCTTTTCTTATCTCGTTATTTATTACTTGCACTGTTTGTTATAGTTCCGTTAATGCTTCGACCGTTGCGTTTTCCAATTTTGACCTTATGAAACATGAATTATATGTACTCGACACGTCGTCGTTGCATTAAGGTATTTATTTCGTCGTCGTTTGTATGATATGTTATTTAACGGACTCGATTTCGACTTTGTGGAGTTTGATTTGCCTTTGTGAATGAATGCATATGTATTACAGGTGTGTTTATGCATGCATGCATTCTTGACAGATAAAATAGTGTGTGTGTGTGTGTGTGTGTGTGTTTTGTGCATCATTACATAACATCTGAGGCTTTTATGGTGAAAGAATGAGGACAAAGTTGTTAAAGATTCTACCTTACTGTTAGGTTTGAGTGACTACAGCAGCATCTTCTTTTTGGGATTCTGACAAAAGAATTTACCTTAAATCCAGCTATAGGTTTTTTCTTTTCTTATTTTTTTATTTTTTTTATTTTTTTTTTATTTTTAAAGAACAGATTTACAGATTTAAAGCCCAACTCACAGAGTCTATTACAAAGAATGTGGCCCAATTAAGAAACTAGGCCCGGCCCACTTTTCACAACTTCCACTAATCCAATTCGGCCCACATTCTTTTACATATTTTAATTTGTGGTCCAAATGCTCGATTTATTATTAATAAACGGAAATTAAATTAATAAAAAGAATATCATATACGTATTAATGTGGGTAGGTGAAATACAGATATCAATTAATATTTCAAACAAAATATAACATAGATTTGACTCAAAGCTAAATAATAATGATATTATATCTCATTTTTCAGATCGAACTCGTCTCATATTATTTACCTAGTTAGTTTACATCTTCCGTCTGATTTGTGGCTATTGCACAAGCGCAAACATATATTGTTAAATGTTGGCAAGTGGAATCGAACTCGGTTGTTAAATGTTGTGTTTTCCTTAATTAAGCCATATTTGCAAATCTCAAATAAATAATTGACCAATATTTAAAAGTACTAAAGTGGTTTGATTATTGATCCAATTGTAAAAACACTCATTGGCAGATTTGCACTATGAAAATATTTTATTTGAAACAATCTGATCATGATAGCATCTTCTTTTCAATTTGAACACCCAATTGTTTTAATTAAATCAATCTCAATCAACACTGATCAATTGATTAATATTTTTTACACATATTCAAACCATATTTAAGCTAATCATGGTTTAAGTGGATAGTTTGTCAATTAGTGGAGCCATAATTTTAAATCCGTAGGAGTCAAATGCATTAAAATTTATTTGAGGGGACCCGATAATACTAACATACAAGAAAAATAATAAATTTCTCTATGAAATAATGATAGAATTTTGAGAAATGATGGGGGGCCATGGCCCCTCTGCACTATGCTGGCTCCACCGATGGATTTGTCAATGTTAATCTTTTAATTTGATGCGCCACAAAACAGAATAATTGAAAGACACCACCATTATATTATGTTGATTAGATTCGAAAGATGATTAGAGACAAGATTAGCATCTAAGCAACAACATTAATATAGTTGGTTTAGGACAAGTTAATCATCATGGCATGGGCATGTTGGGCTTTGATTAATTAGATATGCTTAGTGCCTTGGCTTTACTAAATATGATCAAGTCAAATTGATATTGTTTTGCAATCTCGTGATTTAATAATAATAATAATTTTTATTATGTCGAAATAAACGCAACTTGCTATTTTGGTCGATACTTCTAATTACGGGTAAAATGGAAGCGGAAGGAAGATTGTTAACATTTATCAGCTCTAATCAGGCTGGAAATCGGACAGACTAAATCGAAATTACCCCTTTTGAAAGGAATAGACTAAATTCCAGTTCCATTTAAAAAAAATCGGAGAAATCGATTTCATAAATTAAAATGAAAAATTTCATTTTAATTGATGGAATTCCAGATTCAAAATTTATTTATCACTTATAAAATAAAATATATAATAATATTTATATTACAAGTGTATTTTTTGAAAAAGAAAAGGAAATTTTGAAAAATTAAAACCGGATCGAAAAATATTAATCTATCACGTATTCTTTTCGTTCCAAATAAAAGCGACATATCATATGAATAAACCATATGCTGAGTGGTTGAGACACAAAAGCACAGATATTAATAATGGTAACTTACAACAGAATTTTCATGCTTTTTGTGCTATTATTTACCATCAACTTTTTTTATTTTATTTTATTTAATTGAATATAATTTAAGGGGAGGAATTTTAATCATAGTGATGCCAGATCGAAACATGAAGGCAAAGTGATGTACTAATTCATAGTACTACAAAGCAAGTTGTCACCTTATAAAAGGGTAAAAGAATAAATAATTAAAATCAACAAAAAATATATTGTACATATGATGTAATAAAGTATTATTAGGGGAATTGGTGCAAAATTAGGTCCAACGACCACGTGAATGCCACTTTTTGTACCATCGTTACCACATGACACATCTACCCTCTTCCCATTTATTTCATGTTTTATTATAAAGCACATGCACATATAATTGTACTATTTTATATATATATATATATATACACACATGACACATTCATTTGGTGAAACCGTATCGGAATTTCGGTAAACTGAAATTACGATACTTCAAAAATTTGTACCGTTTACTGAACAGAACTATTCGGTTCAATAGGGGTTTTTACCGGATTAATTCGATTTTTTCGGTTCGATACCGGTAAAAACCGAAAAATATTTTATTTTTGATTTTTTCTTTTCGGTAGCGGTAAAAAACGAATATATATATATATATATATATTAAAAATTAAAAAAAAAATTGAAATTCATTTTTCTTTATTATATTAAATTCAACGGCTTCTTTAAAATCCAACCACATTTTATTTGCCTTAAATGGTAGATGTACACTCATTTATTCCGGAACTGAATTTTTGAGAATTATTTAAATATATAATTGTAACAAGAAAAATGTGTTCACTTTGTAATAGTTCAAAGAACTCATGAATTCACTCGTGAGTTTTGTTTATTTATTATTATTAGTGTAAAATATAAATATGAGCAATAATATTTTAAAAAAAATATTCTCTAATTTTATTAAAATATATCGATATGGGACAGCATCCTTCGTCATTCTGATAATGGATTTTAGTAAAAAAAAACGTTTGTTGCTATGAAAGGTATATAGTCAAATATTTCATTGCATAATAATTCGAGAAAAATGGTTGACAATAGGAGATTGATATTAAGAGGATCCTCAAATTTAATTATTTTTTTTTTAAATATTTATAAATATGATTTATTAGGTTACCCTAGTGTTTATTAGTTTTATATATACAATAAGATTAAATATTTATATATGTATATCCATCTAGGAAGATGATTCTTTTTTCACTTTGGATGCAAGGATAATGCAATTAATTACTACATTAAACAATTTTAATTTAATTATCTTAAACAAATCAACGATTGCACTTTGGGAACCTGCAAACGTTGTGTGTCGACATGGGCGTGCAATGTTCAAAGACAATTAAGTTCGTTGAACGTGTCATTTTATAATAATATATAAATCATATCTTAACGCCTAATCAAAACTTAATAGGGTTAACAAATTATGTTATAATAAGCTAATTATGTGGTTAGATTAATTGAGTCTAGATCTAATAGTAGTTCCAATGTATTGTCGATAACACCTTACGAAAATACTCCATATGTTCTATAATAATCGCTTATTTAAAAAATAAAAAAAAATTGTTCCATATTATCTGTCATTTTAGATTCTCAATACTGCATTAAACACATATTTTTTTTTTATTTTAATCTTATTAATTCAACTATAAGTATGAACTCTCTCTTATTACATTATTCATTAAATGATCAATGTTATATTAGTATTTTTAATGTGTTTTTTCTTAAAATCAAGACACATTCGTTGAGATTGTTAATACAAGATTATAAACGGAGGGAGTAATACACATGTCGACACACGAAATTTAGATCCGTTTTTATTGGGCATTTTGGTTGGAAGATGCGTCCAAATAAAATAATAATAATAATAAAAATAAAATAGTGCACATAGGTTTATTGAATTATCAAAGAACGTGCATTAATATATTATTACGTTCATTAATTAGGCTTATTTGCAGGTTAGACATTGGAAACCTTATCGATGTAGTCAAATTACATCTTCTTAAGTACAATACTTAACTTATTAGGTTGTACGTAGTATTGTTATCACTATTAACAAATGTATTTCATATTTAATTTAATCTTACATCATATTGTATTTTTTATTGATTTTTTTTAATTCACAAGTTAGACCAAGTATATGATTAATGGTCTCTTCGATTAAGTTTATTTTAGACAACTGATAAGCTGTTACGTGATCTTATTTTTAAAGAGCTTATAAACTCGTAAACATCTTATAATCTCTTTGTAAGGTTTTATAAGCTCTTTTTGTCAATAGATCAATAGCATAGTTTAATTTAATCCAATAAACTTGCAATGTGTATCAAGATCCAATCTAACTTTAAAGTTGTGTTAATTTAATTTTAAGCCAATAAAGAAAAGTTTGTGTTCGAAAAACAAACGCTTCTATTTTAAATTAAAAATCAAGTAAACTTATATATATCTGACATACGTGTAAATAAGTATAAAGAACTATTTTAATATTTGAAGTCAATTGCAATATATATGTATGTATATAAATAAAATAACGAATGGCATGTAAACAACCATGTGGCTTAAACAAGGACTTTTATCTTTCAATAATTGTCCAATTAATAATCAAATTTGAAGAGTCTAATGAAGATAAGTCAAATATAGTTTGTCTCGCTAATTAGGGGTCTCATTTAGGAAAGGTTAAGAGATGAGGTGGTAATGTGTAAAATGTCCAAGGATGAGGGAGATGAATGCAAATTATGAAAAAATAGTCCTTCCCATAGGATTCTTTTTCCCATTTCCCCAAATGAATCTAATGAAGAAAGAGACATGATCCAGACCACAGATTAAACCAAAATCATCGTGGCCGTCGATTGATAAATCAACTCCTCTACTGTCTTTGTATTCAATTCGTGATGTAGACTTTAATAAATCTATTATTCCATTTAGTTTATGTTATATCTCTTTTATTTTTATTTCAAAAAAGAAATATATAAGTATGCAATTATAATTTTTTTTAATTGAAATAAATATCTGCAATCACCATTATACATACAATAAAGGGTAATTTAAGATTTTCTTGTTAAAATAAAATTTTATTGGGTGTAGATTAATCTTGAATGAAATGAGTCAAATGACTAATAAAAAAGTAGAGGAGTAAAAAGTGTTTGACAAAATAAAGTTATTCCTCACACTTTTAGTCTATATTTAGAATTTATACCTAAGGAAATTCAAGTCTTAAAATGGGGACACACTATAAGTTGAGAGCTATATCACATTTCCCTTGTCTTTCTTACATGTGTTGTACATGTTACACTATGTAAAAATGCACCGGCTGATCCTCAACTATTGATCTACACGCAATAATACACAGATTGATGCATATGCGTCTATACTGAGTGTTTATTTGTATAGATTTATGATGCAAAATTATCCGGTGTTTTTACCAGGTGTAACTATCTCATAGCCCCATGTTACATATGCTAACATATATTAAGTATTTTTATTTATTTATGGGTAAATAGCACTTAACCCTCCCTGCGGTTTGAACTTTTGCACATCGCCCCCTTGTACTTTTGATATAGCACACGACCCTCCTGTATTTAAATATAAGCACATAATTCCCTTGTACTTTCAAAAATGTCCTCCTTCTAATGAGCATGATTAGTTACCGAGTTAAAAATTATAGGGTGTCTATGTGCTTATATTAAAATTATAAGGGGTCGTGTGGACAAAGTTCAAACTACAAGGATTCATGTAGTTATATTGAACATATAAGGGGGTCATGACGCAAAACTCAAATAGTAGGGGTTTAATTGAAATTTACACTTTATTTATTTTAAAAAGACTAGTCAGCTCAACAATAAAATAAAGTAAAGAGCACACTAACGCCAAGCCTTTAGCTTTTCCCCCTATTTATTATTCAAATTATTTAAAATTATTTCATCAAAGTATCTCCTCTCTCTCTCTCTCACACACACACACACAACAACACACACACACACGAACAGATACTCGAAAAATTAATAAAACTAAAAGTATGGAATGAATAGAGTGATTAAGGAAATTGGGTTATTCGCCACAGTCGATACTTATATTGACCGGACTTCCGCAGCTTCCCATGTCTATCTATGGACCTTTCCAATCCCCCTTCTCTCTCCTCATCATCTTCTTCCTTCTGTCTCTCTCTAGACCAGAACAAATGACCCTAATCTGCGATGCCTCTGTTACTCCTATGGCGGAAACCCAAGAGAAACGCCTCAGAGAAGAATCCCACGACTCGGAAACCCCCGAGTACGACGATGCCAACTCAAACTCGAAGCGCCAAAAGCCGTACAACAACATTCTCTCTCTTCTCGACGAAGAAGAAGTAGATCAGGATGAAGAACCAACCCAGGACCTCTCCGCCATTTTCACAACCCTCGAGCAGGAAATCTCCTCCACCACCACCGCCACCGCCGCATCCTACGACGTCGACTTCCCGCCGTTCGAAGCTGCGGCGGAGGAGGAGGACCACAGCCAACAAACCGCCGCCGCGTGCAGCCCAAGTTCCGGCGACTACGCCGACGAAGACGACGGCGTGAAATCGGTGATGAGGCATCTCCTCGAGGCCTCCGACGACGAGCTCGGGATTCCGACCACGGAGGATAATTACAACAGCGTCGTTGAAATCAATTACTCTGAAAATTTTCCGTTCGGTTTTTCCGATCACGGGATTTGGGAAATGGAAGATGTTGCAGCTAACTACTATACTATGCTGCAATCCGAACTTTTTATGTAGTCTTTTTGCCCCTTTTGTGGGGGGTGTTTTGAAACTATTAGCAAAATTCAGGGGTTGTAAAGAGAACACGGAAAGAGTTGGGGTGATTCAGAAAAAAAAAAATGGATGCGGATTTGGTGGTTTTCATTTTGGTCCCCCTCTTCTTTCGTGGAATTGCATATGTTCCCCATTCTTTTCAGATTAGAATATTTTAATGATGTAGGGACTTGGAAAAAAGATAAGCATTTGTTAAACATGTTCATGGTATCGTATAATACATTGCAAATCATATTATCGTAAATATTATTAGGTAAACCAATATACGATATCGGCAAATGATTCGAATCGTTAAAATTTGTCTCGTTACTCCATCAACTTGGTCACTTTTTAAATTTGAATTATTATAAATTTAGCTAAAGCAAAACGAAAAAAGATAGGACAATAAGTTAAATTGTTTTGTGGCCTTGGCGTGCTGTCACTGTCACGCGCCAATAACTTACCTTTTTTATAATTCAAAAAATCAAAATATAAGATTCATTAATAAATTTTTTTAAGAAAAAAAGAACAAATTAGATTATATGAATTGGACATTATGCGATAATCTTTTTGTTGGACCGGTAATACTACATGGCCCATAAATAAATGGGTCGGCCGGTTATTTTAAGTTTACTCAAAAGTCAGTTGGTAGGTTAATATCGGTCAATCGATTTTTTTAATAATAAAAATATTTTATTATTGTAATTTCTTTTGAATAAATAGATGGTCGATTATATCATCAATCCACCAATTGTTTACCCGATAAAGTCGGTTGTCAACTATTATCCGACCCATAATGAGCGGGCCAGTAATAATTTTATTATTCAGGAAAATTGGATGGTTGAATGGGTAGGTAATTGATCGATAATCGTCTCACCCAATACAATCCCAGCCCTAGTAACATATAAAGAAATTATATGTGTACCTAAGGCTGGGACTGGGTTGGTTTTTATCCATCGACCGACCCATTACCGACCATATTTTAAGGCGGATAATCAATTTTTAACCGATCCATTTGATTGGGTCGAAAATTTCAACCAACCCATCTATAATGGGTCGGTTGGTGGTTTAGAATACCATCAAAAGTTGGTTGACCGATAATTATCGGTCATCCAATTATATTATTAAAATTTTATTAAAAATATAAAATAAAGGCCGTGTTTTCTTAAGTGATTATTGAAATTATCAAAATAATTAGCATTTTAAATTTAAAAAACAATCAACAAAGGAAACAAAATTGACCTAAGTCTTCCACCAGTTTTGTTATGCCCAAGTTTAAATAAAAAGTCCACAAAACTCCACTAAATGATCTCTTATGCATCTTTGGAATTACTTTGAATTTCCTACTTATATTTTTTCGTTAATTATTATTAATTATTTTGAACTGAAAAATGATGATCGCACCGTGACATTACGCAAAATGTGAATATTTTTACTAAAAATTTTGAAATTTTTTGAAGTGAATTAGGAGGCGGGTATAAACCATCAACCGACCCATTTCGAAACCAAATATTTGGTTGTCAACCATCAACCGACCCACAAAGATTGGGTCGGCAACGGTTTTCAAATATGAGCAAAAATGGTTTGATGGATAGGTCGGTTTTTAGGCTGGTAATCGACCGACCCAACCCAGTCCCAGCCCTATGTGTACCATATAAGTACATCGAATAATCCACAGAAACCTAACCTAATATTTAGAATAGGGATTAAAGATCTTTTTTTTCTAATTTATTGTGGCCTTCTCATATTTTCACTTGAAATAACTTTTTTTTTTATTAATTATTGAAAAATTACTCATTGAAAGAAATAAGATGGGGTGCACGATAAACATTTCTTGAAAACTAAGTTTATCATATAAATATCCAATATTATAAAATTGGTGGAAGGATTAATCAGACAATTTAAGCAGTCACTGTCTTTGTGACATTTCTTGCAAATTAATTAAAATAAATTTTAATTTCTATTTTTTCTCTAATTAATAGCTTGTGGGATTATGATTTGCCTTTTTGAAGCAAAGTAAGTGCCTTCTTTGGATGCAAATATTAAAGTGTACGCATCAACTTTTTTTTTCGCTTTATAGTAAAAATTTATTCTTGGTTAATTTATTTATTTTTATTCCCATTTTACCCTTGTAAGATATGAATATATGCACATTTACATCATTTCGATTATTCGTGGTAAATTATATTTCGTTGTGCATTTTATCTACGTAACATATACAACTTGTAAATTATACAAGAAACGTAAACCACACTAGGCTAACCATGTTTAATAAGCTCGATTTAGCGACTGTCGCGTAATATAATTCAGGCTTATATTAATTGACACAAACTCACCTACTTCAATCGTTGGACCATATATTTCGGACCGGATTTGAATTTTATTGGAGTTGGACTCATAATAAATTTTATGAAATAAAATATTTATTTAAAAAGATTGGTTACAATGGGCAAAAGGGGTATTTGAACCGGTCTTTTTTTCTTTATTTTATTCTTCGTTCTTTTCTCTTTACCAATTTATAGAATTCGTATATATTCATTATTATAAAGCAACAAATAATAGAATTGGACCGGGTTTTTTTTTAATTCTTTTTTTTCCTTTATCTTTTCCAATTAATAGAATATTGGTATATATTCATTATTAAAAGCAACAAAATTTAGAGAAAGAATCTAAAAAGAAAAGAAAAAAAAGAAAAGATAGATAGAGAGCAATAAAGGTGAGGCTGACCTGTAGTTGATTATGTCTGTCCTTGCTGATATAACTGTGATCATATCTGTCATGATGCGTATCCTAATTAAATAATTATACTTTATTATTTAATTATATATTAATTATTTTTCTTTCATAATTGAGGAAGTGTGATTATGTTTGAGGATGGTGGTATATTTTAAAATATTTAAATAAAAAAATAAAATCTACTTTATGGAGTTTCCACTTTTGCGGTTATAATCCTAGTCAAATTTACAACCGAAACATATCTCGATTTTTATGTAAATCGAGTGTTCCAGTTGGACCAAATGAGTCTGTATTAATTGACCACTGATCGAATTTTGTTGACAACGGTTACTAGATCGATTTTGTCACACATAGTTAGTCTAGTGTGATTTGCAAGATATTATACGAGAGTGCAGGTCCAATGCACCTATATGGTTGGCTAGAAAAAACAAAATTATAATATTTATTCACTGGCCCGGAGGTGTTGTATATTCATGTTCAACCCCATAATTGTAGTATATTGACAAAAATACCCCTACATTGATGATAATACAGTTAAACCTCTATAAATTAATACAGTTGGGATTAACAAATTTCTATTAATCAGCCAAGATATTAAATTATCGACCTAATAAGTAATAACTTAGTAGATTTTTACTGAGTCGAGGTTAGAAAAAAACTATTATTTAAGCGAGGTAATTAATTTCGAAGTTCTACTGGATTAGGTTAACTCGTGCACATGTTATTTTATTTTATTGAAGGTGTGTGATATTTTTCAAAAGATCAAGGATGTAAAAGCAAATTTCATAACTCATAAAATCTTATGATGTTAATGTGCAAACAAGATAGCAAATAATAGTAGTGGGAGTATAAAGTGGGCCAACTCTGCAATTCCTTTGAGGAAAGAAAAAACAAAGATAATATATAATAAAAACCCATAATATTTTCCCAATTTTGAAATACACAATACTTTATAACAAGGGGGACAACATTATTAAATTAAACTATAGAAAAAATGCCAAAAATAAAAAAATAGTAACTTATATTTGTAATTTAATAATTAATAATAGATGGATTATTATATTCGCAACTAACCAACTGTAGGGGGAGGTTCCTCTGCCATAAAGTAAATCGGGCCCAAACAGAAATTAGAGTACAATTGGAAAAAAGCATGCTGGGCCCGACCCGAATTTGGCCGTGGTCCCTTTTGATTATGTACGTAGAAATGGGCTTCTGTCTGCCATGTCTTATTCAATAATTTATAATTGAATATATTATTTGTTGTCTAAAACATTTCTTCTTTCAAATTATTTTTTATTTTAAAATTTCAATAATTTGTTAATTGTTTTTTATTTAATTATATAATATCTTTGATTATAATTATATACATAATTATTTAAAGACCCTCACCCACAGGCCACAGGCCCGTAGCATGTTTGGTGAATGAATGTAAGTCATGGTTACTCCGTTCGGGTAGTCATTACTCATTGAAGTGCAACTGTCATTACTCGATCTTAGTATCCTGTACCAACTTATCACCATCGAAATCAATTGAGATATTCGTCGCACTGCGGTTGCTAGTACTCGATTCTAGAACCTTGCACCAACTTATCATTGTCGGAGCTGGTTGAGCTACCCACGCGGGCATGTAACCGTTCTAGAACATAATAAATGAAGAAAGAGGAGAGAGAATGATGAGAGAGATGGGGGTATCAATAATTTAGAAGTATGAAAGCAAATTGCTAAATATTTTTCATGGCATGGATGTAAAACAATAACAGGGGTCCATGAAATTAATGGTTGTGATCCCAAATCATAATTGAGTTATCCCCACCACTTGTTGGATACATTCATTGCGGTTGGAAAAACAAAAAGAAAATTATATTTCTAGTCCTTTAAGTTTGAATTACTTGACTTTTAGTTCATATTTGCAAAATCTACTTCAAAAGAGATTATAATTAATTAGACCTAACAAAATTGACATGAATGATGAATACATATGTATATATAATAATAATTTAATTTTTCCACCCTGCCGTGCTATTGTTTCCTGCAGAGATATCACTATCATCTTATCTAACTCCAATCCAATGGCTGGCTAATATATTTTGCAGCATATGGTGGACAACTTGTACAAGTATTCACAATTTTAGTGAAATATATTTTATTTTTTTCAATTACCTCAATTTTAATTGATTTTTTTTAGCCCTACACCCGCTGAAATTCATCAGATAATACACTAAGCCACACACATAAATATATAAATGTGTGTAAAATATTTCAAGACTATCTTATTCTATAGGCCATCTCATGAAAATAATCTGCAAAAGTTTCCAAACTATCTGTTTTCTTTTATTTACGGAGAACAAGTCAGTCAATCATATAAATCCATTTGGTAAAATATTGATTCTCATGCTGTAGAGTTTGCAAACTATATGAGAATTATGTTAACCAACAGTTACGCATAAGTTACGTGCAACAAACTCGACCTAAAAGAACGCTGTCAATCAGACTCGGATAACGTAACATAAAAAATCTCTTGGTTTTGGAAACTAGTTTTGGTCTCGTGTGAAATAGAATAGTGGTGTGAGGTAGAGATATAACGTGGAGGTTTAATATTCAAGTATTCCTTTGATTTGGAATCAGTGTCGGCACTCCTTATCTTCTATTTCTACTTGTACCCAAAATTAAATCAGAGAAATACTTGCCATATATCTCGTCCAAATGAGTGTCGGAATATTAGGTGGTGTTTTTATTTTTATTTATTTTTTTATTTTTTAAATTGAATGTAAAATCGGCTTGTCTTATTCCCGCTTTCAGCCTAACGAATTTTGGCCCATTTTTAAATGATTGGAATCCGTCTGAAAAGCCCATCCTGATTGGGCTCAATTTTGGTATTATTATTATATATTCTTTTATTTTTGTGTAATGAATATTATGGATAAGTAAATTTAGAATATCAAGGGATGTGATAAACGTCGTTCGGGCTTTAGTAATACCGTTTCGACTTCAAACGTGATTTTAACCATTTTTTATTCCAAATTTTGCAAAACTCGAAAAATAAAATTTAAAGTATTTTGAGTTAGTTTTCTAATCCAACTTAAATCACCATAATTGGATGTCGGACAAAAAAGATATACATGAATCAATGGATGTTGCCCACAACTTTGATGTATTGAGGTATCTAAAATTCAAAATGTGACTCATTCATGAATAACTTTGTCACACGCATCCAATCTAGCGGATTTAAGTTGGATTAGAAAGCTAACCCAAAGGACTACAGTTTTCATGTTTCGAATTTTACCATAATTAAAATAAAAATGTCAAAATCAAGTTTGAAATCAAAATGACAATAATAAAATTGAAACGACATTTAACATTTCAGGAATATTAATTAAGAGATAGTCTTCATTCTAGATTTTCTATTACTCATAATACTACTCTTTTTTGTTTTATTTTTCCCTATATATCTATACAGCACGTCGATAGAAACGGCCGATGCAAGAACTTGGAGGAAATGTATAAATAAGCTATAAATTATATATAAAATCTTATTTATATATTTTCATACAAAAATTCACAATTTATTTTAACTATCAACTATAAATTAACAATTTCAAATAAAATTATGTAAATAACTAGTGAATCAACAAAAATATTTGAAAATATGATATTCAAACCTGTGCCTAACTTTATAGAAATTGCAAAATGGCTCGTAAGATGTCCGACGGGTGTCCTCAAGTGTCTCAACAAAAACGACACATATAAAGAAACAGAGCATAAGAATTCATCATAATCCATAAAAAACTCTTAACTTCAATACAAGTCTCTCAACAAAAACAACACATATAAAGAAACAGAGCATAAGAATTCATCATAATCCATAAATTATCTAAGAAAAAAAGCACCGATAGTTTCAAAACATGACACAGTCACTACATAAGCAGCAGATGAAATGGAATGAGAAAATGCTGCTTCTCGAAAGTAACATTAAACAAGTAAATAAATCGAACACTTACACCTCACTCACTCATTCTTCATCATCTTCGTCTCCATCACCGCCAGACGCCTTCTTGGATGCCGATTTCTGGTTCCTTCTCTTCACCCTACCTGGGCGGCCACCTCCGAACGGGCTTGTCAGAGAGAAGTCAATGTGCTTCTGCGAGTCCATTCTCACCATAAATGACGGCACGTTCACAACCTGCCTCCCAACCCTAGAGTTGCAAACGAAATCAGTCTATGAATAAAACTCCATTCATATTTCAAGCAGCAGTTTATAGACAACATAGCTTTTACTACTGATCGATAAATCAAAAGAAATTAACGAGTAAAGCACAAGAAATCTCTTTAAGAAGATACTTAGATCACAAAAGTCAGTTTCGATTAAAATCTCTTTAAGAAGATACTTAGATCAGTCTAATTTCACAAGAAATTTGGCATTCATATTGCAGACTAACAGTCGGCATTCATAAAAGTTAGAAGCTTACGAAGTACGATACGGGAAGTGCATACATAAAAGTTAGAATTCCTCGACAAGTACTACATTCCCATCAAATGAAAAGTGGAGCCACCAAGTTCTAATTCACGATGACCCAAACTACCCTTCATCAAATGATACTATAGACAACCAAACGAATATACTACATCATCCAATTAAACACACTGATACACTACATCATCTATATAGAGCTGAACAAACTGAGTCACAAATTATTTACCTGATATGCTTTTGCCTGATGAGTACTCTGGCATGGTGAATAGACTTAGCCATACCCGCCTTGAACACAAGGGTTTGGAGGCGACGCTCGAGGAAGTTCTCGACAGTGAGTGCCAAGACGTAATCGAGCTTGCTTTGGCTCTCGTCCAGCAAACCATACCTATTCATCCTCCTTAGAAGAGCTTCACCCTCGAAAATACGTTTCGGGTCCTTCTCATCAAGAGTCAAAAGCATCCTTGCGTTGTTTCTGATACGGCTCAGTGCGTACTGAACCCTCCACAGCTCTCTCTTACACCTAAGACCGTATTCTCCAACGAGCTTCAACTCAGCATCAAGACGCTCCTTCTCGTAAGGGCGTCGTGGCTTCTTAAAAGTCTTGCCATCTGCAGAAAGCACATGTTAATAACGCTTCACAATAGCTCGTTAATGGTGTTTGTTCATTATTTTGTTCCATATCATATAATTATCACTTTATTTTAGGCATCGATTCAAATGTATGGCATTATATTCAAATGTACGTTCCATTTTCTCTCACATAGCAAACAAACTACGAACATAAACTATACACAAATAGAAATTTAAAGAGAGTGCTCCAACAAATAATAATTCAGATCAAAAAATGATCTTTGTAACGGCAGTCAATATTTTGCAGTGTTATATTCCAATAAATGTGCTATATAATCTATCCTACACTCTGTTATCTGCTAATGAAACAAAATCAAAACGAATTAACCTAAACAAAATAATTTCTAGGGCAAATTGAAAACAATACGCAGGAATCAGCTGAAGCCTGAAAGATCACTCCATATAAAATAGATATATATTCAATTAACAAAAAATAAAATCTCAAATCAGGAGAAAGTACATGATTTTGAGAATATACAGCTACGAAATAGTGGCCAGAAGTGCGAGAAACAGCAACATTAACAAATTACTACGAATCAAAAAAAAAAAAACGAATACATTTAGGTATTGGAAATTGTATGAAGAAACGCGGGCTTACAGTTGCGATAAACACAGACGTGCACCATGGTGTTCTGCCGCCGCTACCTTCACTCCCGCCGATCTGTTGCTGATCGCCGTAGAAATGGAAGACGAGGGTTTCAGAGAGGCATTGATTTTTCGTTGGCGTTTATATATTCTTTTTAACGGGCCAAAACCCTAGCGAGCCCATTTCAGTTCATTAAGCAGATTCGGGGCCTTTCTCTTACAAAGAGACCGGCCCAAACAGCACCTAACTACTACGAATTAATCAATTAATCATCTAAAAATAATAATTAATTGCCATTATTTAAAACTTTTGATGTACATTTATTTATCATATTTTTTTTTAATTAATTCGTCCAAAATCGTGGTATTTATAATTATAAACACAATGTATTAATTAAAAATCTACTAGGAATTAATCAATTAATCATCTAAAAAAATAATTAATTGCCATTGTTTAAAACTTTTGATGTACATTTATTTATCATATTTTTTTTTAATTAATTCGTCCAAAATCTTGGTATTTATAATTATAAACACAATGTATTAATTAAAAATAAAAATTGGGAAAAAACGTGCAAAATTTATAGTGTACATTGAAATGGTATTTATAATTATAAACACAATGTATTAATTAAAAATAAAAATTGGGAAAAAAACGTGCAAAAAATATAGTGGAAATTGAAAGCTTGCTTTTGATTTAATTTATCAAAGCCAGGTTTCGATCCTGGGACCTGTGGGTTATGGGCCCACCACGCTTCCGCTGCGCCACTTTGATTTATTGAAATAAGGTACGAAAATAGCTTATAAATATAGAGTTCCTTCAGAAATTTCTAGAGACGAAGATGATTTTTATTTTAGGGAAATTTACAGTTTTCACCCTCAAGTTTACAATAATTTCACATGTGGCCGTTAATGTTTCAATAATTTGACACTTTTGGTCATTTCCGTCAATTTACTATTAATACTTCAGTTACGGTAGTGATGGGAACATGTCTGATTCGGTTAGTTTTAACGGAAAATTGACGAAAATGATTAAAAATGTTGAATTTTAGAAATATGAGGGACCAAATATATTTTGTGTGAACATAGGGCACTAAATGTGGAATTAAAGTAAACTTGAGGGGTAAAAACTGTAGTTTTTCCTTTAATTTTACCTTCATATCATTTGAGAATTGGGCCCAATAAAACACAACTTGAACAATTCATTCCAAACACCTCCCAAAAGGAAATCCCTCTCTCAAACACAAACACCACTGCTTCGGAAAAAAAAAAAAAGGAAATTGGAAATATAAACAGTAAAAAAGGTGAAAGAAAATTATTTTTATACTTGTCTTCTCTCAATCAAAATCAAAACCCTCTAATGGCGGATTAGCTTAACGTACGACTCAATCGTCCTCTATATTCTCTCTCCCCTTTCGAAAAGGAAAATCAGTAAAACAATCAGGCTTGTGCGCCAATCGATTAATCGGAGATTTTTCGAACGGATTTTCGAGGATTTATTTTCCGATTTTGGGGGTAATTTGAAGAAGAAGGATGAGTAGCGGGCATAAGAAGAGGAATTTTCAGATTGAGGCGTTTAAACACAAAGTGGTGGTGGATCCGAAGTATGCAGAAAAGACCTGGAAGATCTTAGAGCACGCGATTCATGAGATTTATAATCACAACGCTAGTGGACTCAGCTTTGAAGAACTATACAGGTTTTTTTGTTTTCTCTGCAAATTTTACGATTTTTTTAATTTAAGTTCATTTTCCTGGTTTAATTTAGTGTATTTGTTGGTCATACGAGTTATTGGTGAAAGTAATTAGGCTGGATGTTGTTTACAGGCTTGATTTGATTTAATCGTGCTCGTCGCTTTGTGTTTTTCGTCTAGTTATTTGTTTGCGGATATGTTAGTAATGATTTATGGAATTGAACTCCAGGATTGCTATATGTAACTGAGTTGACTTTATCTGCTTGTTGTTTCGTGTAGCTATTTGATGTGTTTTATTTTTTTTCATTTTCCGTTTTCAATATGAATGTATTTGTCATTTTGAAATTTGAATTCGGGAGAAATCGATTGGTAATATATGCCTAGTGGAATCAGGTGTTTATCTGAACTTGTTTACATTTTCAATCATATTAATTGTCAACGTTCTCAATCGTAGTCTCACTAACTTATAAACATCTTCTCGATGCAGAAGTTTAGAACTCGTAATCCGTTGTTTGCAAGTAATGAAAATGATTTCCTGAATTTAGGAAGATTGCTGGCTGACACTCGGGTGGCACAAATTCCTTGGATTTATAACGAAAGCAACTTTTCTAGACTGAAAGATTCATATTGCCATGTGAAACTAGTTTATGAGATTTGTTACTGTTAATTTTATGTCAATATATTTGATTTCTCAAGAGGAACGGTCCTAATCTTTTCACTTTCATATGGATTCCATATTGGCTTATTAGATTGATATTTTTCTAGATGTGTGTTTAGCATTCTGCGGCCATATAGCTCTATTTGCAAGGTTAATTAGTGTGAACAATTATAGCTTCGTTAGTGTGGCTGTATTTGGAAGGTTATTGCTGTAACAAAGTAACTTTATCAAAGTAGCATTATTTCCGTTTCTCTATTTGTTTTTTATGTTTAGTATTCTTTAATATTCAGTCAGTGGGATTGAGATACGAACTAAAGTCTTTCTCTTCTTCATGCACACACACACACACACACACACACACACACACAACTTGATCATGTCTGCATCGATGAATGATTTGGTTTCTGATTTGGAATTTCCTTATGAACCCAGAAATGCTTACAATATGGTATTACACAAGTTTGGGGAGAAGCTATATTCAGGCTTAGTGTCAACAATGACGTTTCATCTTCAAACAATGTCCAAAAGTATAGAGTCTGCCCATGGCGGTTTATCCTGGAGGAGCTTAATACAAAATGGAGCGATCACAATAAAGCACTGCAAATGATTCGTGACATACTGATGTACATGGACAGAACTTTCATTCCCAGCACTCGTAAAACCCCTGTTCACGAGCTCGGTCTAAACCTTTGGAGAGACAACGTAATTCACTCCGACAAAATCCAGACGAGGCTTCTAAACACAGTTCTTGAATTGATACTTAGGGAGCGCACAGGCGAAGTTATCAACAGAGGATTAATGAGAAATATAATCAAAATGCTTATGGATTTAGGACCTTTGGTTTATCAAGATGATTTTGAGAAGCCATTTCTTGAAGTTTCGGCTGATTTTTATAGAGCGGAGTCTCAGGAATTTATCGAATGCAGTGACTGTGGCGATTACTTGAAGAAAGCCGAAAGGAGACTGAATGAAGAAATAGAGAGGGTATCGCATTACTTGGATGCGAAGAGTGAAGCGAAGATAACTAATGTTGTGGAGAAAGAGATGGTTGCCAATCACATGCTTAGGCTTGTTCACATGGAGAATTCGGGATTGGTGAAGATGCTTCTAGATGATAAGTTGGAAGATTTGGGAAGGATGTACGCCTTATTCAAACGTGTTCCTATTGGCCTTCCTACAATTCGAGATGTGATGACTTCCCACATCAGAGACACAGGCAAACAGCTTGTAACAGATCCAGAGAAATCGAAGAATCCTGTGGAGTTTGTGGAGTCACTGCTCGATAAAAAGGACAAGTACGATAAGGTAATAGCCTCGTCATTTAACAACGACAAGACCTTCCAGAATGCACTGAATTCTTCTTTCGAATATTTCATCAATTTGAATCCTCGTTCGCCGGAGTACATATCTTTGTTCGTGGACGATAAACTGAGGAAAGGGTTGAAGGGAGTGAAAGAAGAGGAAATTGAAACTATGCTCGATAAAGTGATGATGCTGTTCCGTTACCTACAGGAAAAAGACGTGTTCGAGAAATACTACAAACAACATCTGGCGAAGCGGCTCTTGTCGGGAAAAACAGTGTCGGACGATGCTGAGAGAAGTTTGATCGTGAAACTGAAAACCGAGTGCGGGTACCAGTTCACTTCGAAGTTAGAAGGCATGTTTACAGACATGAAAACCTCTCAAGACACAATGCAAGGGTTCTACTCAGCACACGGTAGTGACCTGGCAAGCGGGCCCACGTTAGTTGTCCAGGTATTAACTACTGGTTCATGGCCAACTCAATCGAGCATCACTTGCAATTTGCCGTCCGAAATGTTGGCTCTTTGTGACAAGTTTCGATCTTACTACCTAGGGACCCACACAGGTAGGAGATTATCTTGGCAGACAAATATGGGAACTGCCGATCTTAGGGCAACCTTTGGCAATGGTCAGAAATACGAACTGAACGTCTCGACTTACCAGATGTGTGTACTAATGCTGTTCAACAATGCCGATTGTCTTAGCTATAGGGAAATCGAGCAAGCTACTGAGATTATATCTTCTGATTTAAAAAGGTGTCTTCAGTCATTAGCTTGCGTAAAAGGGAAAAACGTGCTGAGAAAAGAGCCTATGAGTAAGGATATTGGAGAGGATGATGTTTTTTCGGTTAATGATAAGTTTACGAGTAAGCTTCGGAAGGTTAAAATTGGAACTGTGGCTGCGCAAAAGGAAACCGAGCCGGAAAAGCAAGAAACGAGGCAGAGGGTGGAGGAAGATAGAAAGCCACAGATTGAGGCGGCGGTGGTCAGGATTATGAAAGCTAGGAGGGTTTTGGATCACAATAATATTATTGCTGAAGTTACGAAGCAATTGCAGTCTCGTTTTCTGGCTAATCCGAGTGAGATCAAGAAACGGATCGAGTCACTTATTGAACGGGATTTCTTGGAGAGGGACAATGTGGATAGACGATTGTATCGATATTTGGCTTGAAGAAGAAAAAATTTAATTTCCAGTTGATTATTTGGTTTATTATGTTAGTGGAAATGTAAGTTATCAACTATTGAAGACGTTGAATTTCATTTCTGCGTAATGCTTTTGATTTCAATGAAACTTTCGTCTGTTACTTTTTTTTCGTTCGAAAATGTCGTAATCTTGTTATTTGGAAAACCAATTGAATAACTGGATAAAATTCAAGAACTTGTACATTACAACAGGGATTTCTAAGAAATACACCCAATTATTAAAAGTGAATTTCATGTAAATAGAAAATATAGGCCTAAAGTTAGATCCTAGTATTCTTTTATTCATTGTGATTCAAAACTGGATTTCCAGGATTTGCTTGTACTTTACGACTCTGATTGAAGGATGCGATTCTGTATATCTGCGAAGTTCTTCACATCCGTACCCCATAACCTGCAACAACCAAAAATGGAATAAAATTTAAAATAAGAAAAATACCGGGTGTTAAACCGAAAGCAAATTTATAATCAATAGTTCATTACATACCAGCAGTCGATTCCAACGGCATTAGCTCCCGCCTTGTCAGCCTTTATATCATCTCCAACATGAACTGCTTTGCTGGCGTCTACCGAGATCTCATCTACAACATTGCCAATGTTTAACATGAATTATGAAGCCGAAAAATCTTAAGCAATGTCCATGAAAAAGGGAATTGGAAAATATTAGACCTATACCTAAAGCAGCTCTAAATATTTTATCGTCCGGTTTTTCGTATCCAACTTCCGAGGATATTATGACAGCATCAAACCTAAAGCAAAAATCAACCCAATAAACAATAAAAGACAACATGTACTATCGTGTGCCTAGAGTACGAGGTTAGAGCCATGAAAGAAAACCGTAAATACTCACAGATGTAATACATTAAGGTCCTTCAGTAGCTTCCTCAAACGAGAATCAAAGTTCGATACAACAGCTAGTTTAACTGCACCATTATCCAATTGAAAAAAAAAATTTTAAAAAATAATAATAATAAAAAAAATCGAACTAAAATAAGATACCTCCGGAATCTTTGAGACATAGCATTGTTTCGTAAGCTCCTTCAGGGAGATGCCATGCATCTCCATTGGCATAATGCTGATGAAAAATTAAAGATTAGACGAAGAGTTTAGGAATGGTAGTTAATTGTGAATTGTGATGACTTAGAAATACAATACAACCTCGATAAACTTCTTCAAAGTAATTTGAATTGTCAAAGCCGGTGGCTTCTGAGACAACGAGTTTCCAAAACGGCTT